ATAGTACTGAAGTCTTAGCCACAGCAATTAGATAAGAAAAAGAAATAAGAGGCATCCATATTGGTAAAGAAGTTAAATGGTCACTATTTGCGGATGATGTAATACTATACATAGAAAATCCTAAAGACTCCACCAAACACTTACTAGAAATACTAAATGAATTCAGTAAAGTTGTAGGACATAAAATTAATACTGAGAAATAAGTAGCATTTCTATATACAAATAACAAAATAGGAGAAAGAGAAATTAAGAAAACAACTTCATTTATAATTGCACCAACCCCCCCCCCAAAAAACCCTAGGAATAAGCTTAAAGAGGTACTTTTTGAAGATTATAAAACATTGACGAAAGAAACTGAAGATGATGCAAACAAATGGAAAGACATTCCATGCTCATGGATTGGAAGGATTAATATTGTTGAAATGTCCATACTACCCAACACAATTTAAAGATTCAATGCAATCCCTATCAAAATACCAATAGCATATTTCACAAAACTAGAACAAATAATACTAAAATTTGTATGGGACCACAAAAGAACCTGAATAGCCAAAGCAACCCTGAAAAGAAGAACAAAGCTGGAGGTATCACAATCTCAGATTTTAAGATACACCACAAAGTTGTAGTAATCAAAACAGTGTGGCACTGGCACATAGACACATAGATCAATGGAGCAAAACAGAGAGCCCAGAAATAAACCCCCACTTATATGGTCAGTTTATCTATGACAAAGGAGGCAAGAATATACAAGAGAAATACAGGCTTCCAATTATGGAATGAATACATCATGGGAATAAAAGGTACAGTATTAAAAAAAAAGAAGAAACATCTAGAAAAATGTTTGAACAAATATGTGGACACCATCCCTAGCCAAGTTGGCACATAAAATTAACTGTCATATGATGGTTGATAAATTATTGAATAGTTGACTGATTCATTAAAAAAAGAGTTCAATTGGCAAAAAAAAAAAAAAAATTGTTTTCCTTGAATATGTGACTGCGTCTATATAAAGACAAATATGGGCAGATTTGTTTATTAGGGATTAGGCCCCCCTATATAAGGCACTGAAAGTAATAGCTCAGTTTGTGTGTAAGATTTGAAGGAATGTGTGTAGTATTTGAACACATAGTTTGGAATCAATACATGTCTCATTCAGTCATTGATTTATATTCACTCATTTGTTTCTGTGTTGTTTATGCTTAACAACCCTATGCAGAGACCAAATAGTCACCTGCATAAAATTTAGGAGCATAAAGCTCAGGTACATGAGTTTGGCTCTACCAATTGCCAGTTGTATGGCCTTGGGCAAGTTGCTTAGCCTTTTTAAGCCTCAGTTTCTTTATCAGTAAAATAGAGATATTAGCAGAATCTACATCATACAACTAGCATCATGCTTGGTACACTGGGAGAGCTTAATCATAGCTATAGATTATTGAGGATTATAGATTTTTAGGAATTAGTAATTATAGGTATCCAAGGAATTGAGGGCATGTTACTAACTCTAAAACCACATTGCAGAGACTTCTGACCATCCTATACTTTCTCTTGGCTTCAGTGATTTTATCTCCTTTGACTTAATCTCTTACATTTCTGGTGTCTTTCCTGGTCCAAAATAGCCAAGCATGTTCATACACCAGGGTCACTGCCCTTGTTCTTTCTTCTGCCTAGAATGTTCCTCCTCCTATCATTTGTAGCCTGCCTCTTTACATCATTTAGCTCTGCTGAAATACTATCTTTTTTGAGAGGCTTTCCTTGAATACTTTATAGAACTCTATAATTCTCTTTTTCCCTGCTTTATTTTTATATATAGCATTTTTTGCTATTTAAGATCTTATGATAGATATATTTATCTATCTTTCCAATTGAAATACAGTTTTCATGAGTGCAGGAAATTTGTCATTTTGTTCACCAACAAATCCTCAAACTCTGGTACACTATTGACTAGAATATACCAAGCTAACCGAATGAATGCTTCTAGCTCTAAATTCTGATTCTACTGACTTGTAAGTACTGTCTTGCTTCTGGGTTTAAAGGAAGAAAGGCCTCAGAAGTCACTGGGCACTTATAGAATGTACAAGGGCTTGTATATTGCCAACTCTTTATAACTTTGAAAGGTAATGGTAGGAGACTGGGGCACTGTGTCCTCCACCCTTCTGTTTTCCTTATATAAATATTTTCTGGGTACTTGCTAGGAGCCAAAACTGGTGCTGGGGTTATAAAGATTAGAAAGATATGAACCCTATACTTACCTCCTTCTGTTATCCAGAGATTACTTCTTTGCTGATACATTCTTTGTACCACTCATTTGGCACTTAATACATCATTGTCTTTACTCTTTATTTCCCACACAAAATATTTTCATGTTTTATATTCTTTATACTAAAAGCAACCTAGTGAATAAGAACTATATTTTATACCTTTTTCTTAAAAAAATTATCCACAGCACTAAAGACAGTAATATTTATTGGTTGCTATTAATGATGACATCTAAAAAAATCAAACACCACATTCTAATATATTAATTTGAAGCACTAAATTTATGAATCTCTTCATTACCATGAAACACACTTTTCCCTTGCCTTTAATTCCTTGAGAATAGAATTTAAGATTAACAGAAAGAAATATTACTTATTGCCTCATAGTGTAATCAAATGGTATGCATCATTAGAGATTATAAAAGGTTTTTCAGCCTTGGAAGGCCATAGGTAGGTAGTTTAGATACCTCATTGAAAAGGGTTCTTAGAACCCACAGCTCTTCATTCTTCACTGTGTTCTTGATACTAAAAGAGACCTAATGACATCCAATCACTCTTGGATAGTTTAGCTTGTGGTTCTTCTCAAAGCAGTGTGATTGAGACACAGGTGCCAACATTTGGTGTTTAGAGGTGAGACAAAGCAGGTATGTGATAAAATAAGAGGATACTGAAAACAACAACAACAACAAAACTTAAGAATGTTGTAAGGATAAATAACACAACTTAAGAACACTTTGGTTTTAAAGTAGGCTTTCAAAAGGAGATTTAGAAAATTTCACAAGTTGGGTCCTTTGGGAGGGTTATAAAAGGTGGGTGACTTTATTTTTCTTTCTTCATTCCCTTGGGACCACTCCCCCCAAAATGGCACAAAGCACTACTGATTCTCTTCGTTCAGCCCGTGATTGTAAAGACGAAAACAACCAGCCCAGGTCTCTCCCTAGTTGCAACTATGAGCCACGTATTGTCAGATGACACAAAGGCATTCCTATGTTAGGCAACTTATCCATACTCATCAGAGAACAATGATCAGGCTAGCTGCTCTGCTTTCCGCTGTTCTAGTTATATTTATCCTGAAGAAAACAAAGGAGAGTAGTAATTTAAAAATCAGACTATGAGGTTTGAAAAACTTTGGACTGAATGTCACTCTCATATTGTGTGTATTTTACAATTTTAAGTAGTTATTTAAATTATTTGAAAGGAAGTGAGTGATGTGCATATAAGGTATTTTAATTATTTTAGAAGTAGTCTTTAAAATTAAAATAGGGTGGGGAGCCTGGGTGGCTCAGTTGGTCGAGCATCTGACTCTTGGTTTTGGCTCAGGTTGTGATCTCATGGGTCCTGAGATGGAGCCCTGCCTCAGGCTCCACTCTCAGTAGGGAGTCTGCTTGCAGACTCTTTCCCTCTGCCCCTCCCTCCTCTCTCTCTCTCTCTCAAATAAATAAATAAATCTTTAAAAAAATAAAATTAAAAGGGCACTATAATGCTACACTTTTTGATGGTTTTATGAGAGACTATGACTAAAGGTTCAACCAAAAGAAACAAGCTATAAGGTTAAAAAATTAAATGTATTTTAAACCCTTGAAATAACAGATAAGAACTTTTACAGCAGGAGTTCCTGGACCTGTCAAGTGGAATTTAATGCTGCTTTTGGGAATCCACTGATCTACTCTGCTAAGGAACTTCCAGTATCCCCGAAGACCTAACAACGAGGGACATAAACATTTAGGCTCTCTCCAAACTCAGCAGTCTTTCACAAGTGAGGGAAAATAAAAAGTAGTAAATTTTCACAAAAATGTATCATTTGGAATAGCAGGCTCCCAAATTGTATTCTTAATAATCTAAGATTCTATGGATTGCTTCAGGAGTTCAGTAAATGTACAGCTTAAATTTCATTTTAAGATTTCATTTCAAAAATTGTGATTGTAAATATGCACATGAAAACTCATATGCCAATTTTAGCATATAAGAAACCACTAATCTATTAACCCTCATTTTCATAGAACTCTCATTTATAGTTAGTAAATGATATAAATATTAACTTATGAAGAAAATCACTTAAAATTTCTTCATTTATACTTTATGAAATGAATTTCTAAGAAAGAATTTATTTTAAAGGGAGTTATCCTGTTAAAAAAATTTTGAAAATCATTTTACCTATATTCTAGAGTATGGAGAATCGAGGCATGCTTCATGAGAATCTGACAGATGAAGATATAAGCAGAAAGATTAAACTGCTACTATTTTGTAACTGTTCATACTTTAATGCCAAGCAAAATCCCAAGAAGTTACGGTATATTTAATAGTAAAATGTCAGTAAAAAATACTTTAATATATTCTCTAAAGACAATATTTTGAAAATTGTAATAAATATAAGTTCAAAGTTGAGATCTGTCAATCTCTCTTTCTAGGCTACGAAATAGGCCAGTTAAATAGTCTTCATCTTTGCCAAAATTTTATCTATAGCAAGAAGGATTCAAATACCCCCAAGAACAGCAATATACACTAGAGAAACACAAAAACCAAGAAAATGTCCCAATATCTGGTGTTATCTGGAAACCATTTTAAGGTCATGCAATGTTATATTATGCAAGTCTATTCTGGCATCTAGTTTGAGAGTTATTTAGCTACTTGAATTCAGAGGAATCCCAGATATGTTCATTGTTTTTGCCACACACCCTTAAAATGGAAAGGAAACAGTATGAGTAAGGCACTAGCATCCTTTAAAACCACATGTGTAAAGGATACTCTTCACTATTCCGGATGTCAACTACCAGGAGTTTTGGTTTACTGGACTTTGTCTTCTTGGTGGGTGTTTTGAAATGGCCTGTCACTGTGAGTTCACACAAGTCAATCAGGTCCTCTGCTGAAATCCGGGGTGATACTTCTGACTTTAGGTCATTTAATGGGATAGATTCTCTTGACTGAAAAAAAATATACAAACAACACAAATATTGAGAATAATACAGAGAGACAAACTATAGCCAATATAGAATATCTATAGGCTCTTGATATCAATCATTAGAGCATATAGGAGAACAGGAAACTGAATCTCACTTTAGTGGTCTACTGTGTAACGGTATTCTTTACTGTTGAGGTTTACTTACTCACAGAGGAAAGCATTCTTCTTTTGGTTCACTACAAGCTCCTGGCTCAAATTTTATAGAAAGAGATGAGGTAGATTTTTCCTTATGAGAGCACTGTGTATCTTTAAAGACAGCTCCTTTAAGTACACTTTTCTTCAAGTATAATTACTATTGTTGTGAATCACATTAATTAAAACTCTGGTAATATAAGTAGTTGCATTGTAACTCAGTATACATACTAATTAAAGAACCTGGTTCTAATATACACATTAGACTTTTATAACATAATTTATGTCACATATGGATAGTTGAACAGAAATTAGATTTTCAGAGACGAATGCAGAGCAACATAACACTTTCTTAGATAGTAAACAAAAATGACAATGTATCTTAATTGTGAAGGAGGTAAAATCAGACTCCAGACAATCAAGCCAGTACTTTGGTCTATGTGACTATTACATGGTGTAAGATTGATTCAGATTAAGGGCTATTTACAACTGTTCTCCATGTTATTTAGTAGGGAGAGGGAATTTCTTCCCCCCATAAAAGGCAACGCAATGCAATTCAACTCAATTCAGCCTAAATTTATGGAGCACTAGTAGTCACTCTTGAAAACTTATTTAACATAACTTGAGAATTTAAGAACTTTCAAAATTCACTTGATTGAAAACAGGGATTCAAAAGAAAAAATGTATTTATATGCTTAAGTTTTCAAAACTGAGTCTATTATCTCATTTACTCGTTTTCTCTGTTTTCACAATTCTGTTGTGGGATACCACATTTAGAATTTCCAATTTAGAATTTCTAGGCAGGAGAGAATAAAGCATATGGATCATTTATCAGACTTTTTAAAAGAGCTTTTATTTAACTTCCAGTTAGTTAACATACAGTGTAATATTAGTTTCAGGTGTAGAACATAGTGCTTCAGCACTTCCATACCACACCCAGTGCTCATCACTACAAGTGCACTCCTTAATCCCCATCACCTAGCTAACCCATCCTGTGCTTCCCCCCCCCCCCCCCGTAACCATCAATTCAGACAGACTTATTTTGAAAAAAATTTGTTTTCGGTTGTAGTTTCAATGTCAGCTCTCATCCCTTGGGTTTCTCTGACTATGCCGTAAATTCTTTAGTGGTGAAGCACATTTTCTCCCACTTCATTAACTTTTAAATAGAAATGGAAATTGCTAAGCTTTGTGGGTTTATGGCTCTTAATAAAATATACACATTAGAAGTTTTAATTTTTTAATGCAAAGAATTAAATCTACTTAAATATTCTGAATTTAAAAATGCTTCAGAAAGATAAAAGAACTTTAAAATCAGCTGGCCATACAATCAATGCTTCCATCTCCTTTTTTGTTAGATTGCAATCTCAATAAGTATTTTTCCCAGCCTTCACATTAAGTTATACATTTATGAAGATAAAATAAAGAACTTTTGATTATCCTAGTTCTGCTTTTAGTCATTTAGTGATGAATGCGGCATTTCAAACAGAGGTTTCGTCTGAATGAAAGATGTGCCCTGGCTGATGAAGAAGAGAATTTGACAGAGAATTTGACCAGAGTATTCTCTATGAAGAACTGATTTAAGAAAGATCTGACCTTGGCATTGGTTCCAATCAAATGTATCATATATAAGGAGTTTCTCAAAGGAAAGAGCAATTGTTACATGAAATGGTAAGAGTAGAAGAAGAGAGGAATCACTGACAAATTCATAACTTTCTGAACTTTTGTGAGTGTATATAAATGAAGAACATGACACATGCAAATTCCTCTGTGAATTAATTTTAAGAGATTAGTAAGCTAGACTTAGGACAAATTATATTACTTTGCTTTATGAAGAAAATAATTATGATACTAAAAATTACAGAATCTAGTTTCTCTTTATTAACACAATTTTATATGCAATTTTACTATTCATTGTGTAATTTCCACTTAGAGGTACAAAAATAAAACTTCCTCTGTACAACTTTTGTTTCACTTAGTACAATTGACATTGGCATTTTCCTGTGTGACTGGGTTTCAAACTCATGGGGCTTTGTTTATGGACAGTGGACGGGAATTTTATTATTATTATTATTATTATTTTTTTTAAAGATTTTATTTATTTATTTGACAGAGAGAAACACAGCGAGAGAGGGAACACAAGCAGGGGGAGTGTGAGAGGGAGAAGCAAGCTTCCCGCGGAGGAGGGAGCCCGATGCGGGGCTTGATCCCAGGACTCTGGGATCATGACCTGAGCCGAAGGCAGACACTTAACGACTGAGCCACCCAGGCACCCCTATTATTTATTTATTTAAAGATTTTATTTATTTATTTGAGAGAGAGACAGAGATAGCGAGAGAGAGCACAAGTGGGGAAGAGAGGGAGAAGCAGGCTCCCTGCTGAGCAGGAAGCCAGACCCAGGGCTTGATCCCAAGACCCCAGGATCTTGACCTGAGCTGAAGGCAGACGCTAACTAACTGAGCCACTTAGGCGCCCCAACAGTGGACAAGAATTTAAAATAACTATAGAACAACTCTGGAAATATCTATTAGTTTATCATTTCTGCCCAAGAACCTATATATACAATGCATATTAAGCCTAGACATCCAAATATCATAAGCCTATTTGTCTGGGAGCTACTCCTTTTAAAAAAATTCATATTTTATAGCCAACCTAGAGTCAGAGTTTTTGTTGTTTTGTTTTGTTTCCAAGTCTTTAAGTTTTACTGAATGGGTGGGCAGAGAGGAAAGTGATGAGAAGCTGCAATTCAAGAGAAAAAATCTTGGTCATTAAAGTCATTCCAGGCATAGCAGAGGGACACGGGGCTGGCCTTCCCTGTCCATCGCCTCTCAGGATACTGTTGTCAGCCAGCTGAAGTGGACCCCGGCCCCAGCCTCAGTGCCTTCCCTCTGATCTCCTATGTGAAGAGTTGATCCATGATGCTCTGAGTGGAGAGCAGGAGGCACTCTGGGGATGCTTCATGTGGGGATTCCTTCTCCATTCTCTGCCCCTCTGGTGTTCACAAATACCACCAAGAGAATCTTGGGGAGAAACATCAGCAAACCCAAGGGTCACTGACTCATGGCCTTGGGACTTACTTCAATAGCCTCTGGATCTAAGACTGACCTTGGGGCCCCATGGCCTAATGCCTGGCTAATAAGATGATACCTCTCACTGAACCTCTGCACATGCAGACCCACCTGGGACCTCCTGATCCAGGTTCTTCCTGAGGTTACCTCTCACATACATGGAACAGCAGTCATGAGATACTCCTGCAGGGGACAAAAAGCACTTGGCACTGCTTACATGCCCAAGAAACTGTTATATTCACCAAGAGGAAAACAGTGGGAAAATCTTGGTCTTAGGAGGTGAATGCACTGAAAGCCTGCCTCCCTCCATCTACCTTGTGCTCAGTCACCCAAGGCTGTCCCATTTTGAACCTCTGAACATAAAGAAAACCTTGTAACTTTTCCTTCGCCTGCAGACCAGAACATAAGCAGCCTGTAATCACCTCAAATGCTGGGGCAGAAAAGGACATAGGGCTGCTGAAATTAACAGATCAGTGTCAGAAGACCACAGTTGTGTTCCACAACCAACTCAGACATGCACTGAGGCAGGACCCACTCTTGTTCTCCCTTTTTAAAGCCTCATAGAAACCACACTGAGCCAGGCAAAGAGAGCATGCAATAAGACAACACCTAAAAGGTGGTGGAGAGGAGGAAGTGTGGGAAAGCTCCAGAGTTTGGAAGGCACAGGAATGGACCCTCCAAACACTGGGAAGTGCTTTCAGCAACTCCTCTCCCTGCACTATCAATGACCAGGACACAGAGAGACCATGATCACTTTTGAATGCAGATGGAATCAGAATTTACTTAGCAGTGTCACTGAAAAAGAAATCATCCTTCAGTAGAATGAGCTCTCTGAAATGACTATCTGGATATATTAGTTATAATCCTAACTAAGCAAGGAAAAATCTAAACCTGGTAACAAGACAGGCATTTTGCTATGTACATTAAAGTATCATAAAGTACATAAAGTACAGTAAAGTATAATGTACATAAAGTACATTAATGACTTGGTCGTGATACCTGAGAATCTGAAATGGTAGACTTTAATGAGCGTATGTCTGTATACCCTTATGTTGAGTATGTAACCAGCAACCATAAGGGTATAACTGTATACACTTATGTTTTATATGTAAGGGCTCTTAAATAACTATAAAGGCATTTTTAGTGTGAGAATACAGGGCTGGTATCTAGAACACTCCTTCCATATTTCCTGTCATGGATTCTGGCACTAACTTTAACCTGGTTACCAAAGATAGAAATATGGAAATAAGCACAGATACTTTGTTCTTCCTTATTCCTCATTCCAATCTAACATATCCCCAAGTTCCACCAAAATACCTCTTGAATATGTTCCCTGATTCATTGCCCTGTCTCAAGGATTCATCATTTCTTACATGGACTCTAGAAGCTGTTTGCCTCTCTCTCTATCACCCTTTTCTCTACTTCCCTGTCACCTAGTCATTCCTTCTAATTCATCTTCCAAATACCATTTGAGTTAAAAATAAAAATCTGATCATGTCACTTTTATAATTAAAAAAACCTCAATGGCTTCCAGACATTGATAGAATGAACTCAGAATTCCTTAGTATAGCATGTAAAGCCCTTTATGAATTAAACCCTGTCTATAGGCAGGAGACCATAGACCTCGGAGTTAGATTACCTGGATTCAAATCTTGGCCACCCCACTTATTAGTAGGTGTCTTTGGGTGTGATATTTAACTTCTCTGTCCAAGTCCTTTATCTATAAAGTGGGGAAAAGGTGCCAAACACATTTTCCCCCCAAATAATTCTATCTCATTTTAAAAGGGAATCTATATGATATAACAACCATTCCAAGGCAAAGAAAACAGTGAAGTGCCCCAGGGCATTTTTGTTAAGCTACCTTAACCTAATACTTAAACCTGACAAAGACAGCACTAAACACACACATACATAATACTTTTTATGACTAAAGATTTTTTTTTTTTTAAATCTCAAAACTAGAAAACTGAATGCAGTACCAGTTTGAAAGAATGACATACTAAAACCAAGTAGGGGCATGTTACAGGAAGGGTGGCTCAATATTAGGACAATTTTTAAAATAATTCATCACCTTTCATTAGACAAAGGACACAAAGTATGTAACATCACTACAATTGACATAAAGCCATATGTGATAAAACTCAGCATTTGTTCTCAATTTTAGAAAAAGAAAAACTAATGGTAAACATGTATCAGAAAAGTTAGATGATGAAAGATGTTCTTTATTTCAAATATTTGACATTCTACTTAATAATGAACCACAGAGGTAGACTTATTAAAATGAAAATGCAAAAAATAAATAAGTAAATAAATAAATAATATAAAATGAAAATGCAAAAATATAGCTATCAGCATTATTATTTGTTATTGTTAATAGAAGTTGCTTCTGAGACAATAAGAAAAATAAATAAGGGGTATAAATATTGGAAAAGAAGAAATAAATTATTTTTATTTTTAGGTGATATAATAGTATTCTTAGAAATCTGGAATAATTAAAGGAAAATATAATAAAATTGGTAAGAATTTGGTAAGGCTTTAGTTACAACACCCATACCACAAAATCATTAGTTTTTCTATGGCAGCAGAAGCCAGTCAGAAAATACAATGAGCAAAAGCTTTCATTCGCAGTATCAAAACATCTCTCCAAAATAAAACATTTAGAAGTAAGTAGATCACATTTAAAGAAAATAAAACAGTTTCATGATGGGCATTTGAAAAAACAGAGATATAAGATGTTATCTAGAAAGAAATAGTCACTATTATAAGAACTTCATTTTTCTTTAGAGCAATGTATTAATATAAAACAATTTTATCAGACTCTTAAAAAGGATCTTTTTTTCAATTTTGAAATGTAAATTGTAAAATTCATTTGACAGACCAAATAAGTGTGAATGTCAAGAAAATATTGAAAGATAATACATTGTTATATATTAAAACTGTATAATATTAACAGTATGGTACTGCACCAGAATAGACTAAAAAATTAACAGGACATAATGGGGTAACAGAAGCAGACTCAAATACACAAGTATTTGCTGAAAGAATAGGATGCCATGTCAATCACTAGAGCAAGGATGTATTATTTAGGACACAGTGTTTGTAAAACTTACTCTCTAAAGTCACTTGGAAATTAAGGATTCCAAAAGCTATTTATAGCACTGGGTAATAAATGAGGCCAGTAGTGCTGCTTTCAGAAGATACCTGATAGATTTGATAGTTTCTTGGAAGTTTTGAGAACAAAGTATTGTTTATTAAATATCTAATTTATAATTCAAGAACTTAAAATAAGACAGCACAGAAAGTGACATACATTGTGTTCATCTATAGAGAGAGATCAATCTGAATGTTGAGCAAAAACAATTTTTTTAAAAAGACTAATAAATCTCACTGAATAATTAGAATTGGAATAGTAACTGGCATACTAAAATACTCTTCTAAAAGAAAGGTGGAAATATGAATCATAAAGTATGAAGGGCAAAAGTAAGCATATTTATGAAGCAAGGAACATCACAGGCTAACCATGTATTTAATAATGTATATTTCAACACAGTAAAAATATACTTTTTCTTGAGGACAACTTGTAAAAGCAAATACCTACTCAAAGATTTTTTCAAGTGACATAATATTTCTAGGAGAGAGACTGGATCAATGTAAACAGGCTGATGACAACACAGAGCCAGGTACCTAAATAGCTTGAATTTCTTGTATTTCTTTCTATTTCCCATAGCAAAAATAATAGGGCCCTGCCCAGCAAAGGTGCTAAGATGTTTGATAAATAATTACATGAATGTATAAAAGAATGAAGAGTGATGTTGTCCCTATGTTGAAACAAAGAGATATGTTGATATGCTATCAGATAACAGAAGCCATCAACGAAGGCCAACACCACCTCCCCTAGGGCTAACTGAAAAGGAACAGAAGTACTTTACTAATTCAAACTATCACCCCAGCAACACCTTTCCTCCCAGTCTATATAAGGAGATTTAGTTGGGGGGGGGGTGTCAACTTTGTGGAAAGCACAGTGTTCAGGATCAGATGTACCTCCCTTTGCATCCCACAGGGTAGAGGAGTGGGTATTTCTGGACACTCAAACTGCCCCTCACAAGGCAAATGAGGGTAAGTGCCAATGACAATGATTTGCGGAGATTTGGGCATACCTGCAAGAAGGGGTGGCTGACATTCTGTTGTAGAAGAATATCTGCTTACACAGAAGACATTAATCTGGCCTCTCTGAGCAGGAAGAAGGGAGACATGGCAGTGCTGAGAGAAGGGGTGGTAGACACCATCTCTGACCTTTAGTTCCTAGGCTGTACAGTGAGAATAATGACACTTGCCTTATTTACCTTACAAATTTTCTGTAAGGAGCAATTGGCATAACAGGTACAAAAAATGTTTGGTAGACTGTAGATCTTTATATAAAATAAGTTGTTGTATTGAATCCCAATGAAGCAGCTTGAATTTCACAGTAGTCTTGTTATAGTCTAATTTTGAATGAATCATCAATTAACAGATATTTAACTAGTCTGTGCTTGCCATCTTGAGAGAGATAAAATATCCTTTCTACCTCAAAGAACCTGCAATCTGGTTGTAAAGTCAAGACTAACATAAATGAAGCGGTAAAACTATACAATGACAGAAAACATTTATATAATGCTTACTCTGTGCTAGTCACTGTGATAAACATTTGATATACATGAACTCATTTAAGTCATGCAACAATCCTATGAGATAGGTTTTATTATTTTGCTCACTTTATAGATGAGGAAACTGGGGCACAGAGAGGTAAAATAACTTATATAATATATAATCATAAATAACAGAGATAGGATTCAAATTGGGTCAGTCTGGCTCTGGAGTTTGGGCTCCTAACTACAGGATTCCATGTATGGAATCACAGGTACATAGTATGGGAATTCAGACAAAGGTAGAAATGTAATATGGGCAGAAATAGTTAGCAAAATATAGGTGGAGCAAGTAGGACTTGGTTAGGAGAAATCAGTAGGGTTTAGATAAGTAGAAAAGAGAAAGAAGAGTGGTGCATAAGTGGATAACTCTTAAGAGTTCTGAAGTGTGAATGAACAAGGAAATGTTCCATAAATAATTATTGAGCACTTACTAGGCACCACACATTGTGAGTGGGATACATTAATGAACAAAACAAAGATAGATGTTCTTATAGAACTTATATTCAATAGGTATGAAAAAGACAACGAACAGACTAGTCTTACTGAGCTGAGCATCCACCCTGGGAATTAGAGGGAAACAGTATTGAATAGGTGGGTAGGAAACAGATCATGAGGGCTCTGAAAGATGAAGAAGCTTGAGGATATAACAAATGGGTAAGTATTGCAGGATTTTTGGATGAATGTGTCACGTTAATGGCAATATCTTAGGAAGACTAATTTGGGCCTCGGCCGCCCTTTGCTGTGGCTGGGATCTCATGGGAAGAGTGGCGGGTACAGCTGTAGCTTGGTCTTCTGGCTGAAGTCAAAGCAGGAGGGCTCTCCTCACACAAGTGCTTCCTCATGGAGAGAGGTTAGAGCTGCGGCAGTCACAGGCCTGGGCCGCCCCTTCCCTGCCTCGGGCTCCTCGGTTGGCTTGCCCTCTGGTGCTCCCAGAGATCAGTACATGCAGTAGGTTGAAATGGAAAGCACAGAGATTGAAGGCAAGATGGCGGAGGAGTAGGAGACCTAAATTTCGTCTTGTCCCAGGAATTCAACTAGATAGGTATCAAACCATTCTGAACACCTACGAACTCAATAGGAGAT